ATCAGTGAGTGCAGGACTCTTTCTAGACGGCACAAAGTCTACTGTTGTCCAAAGACTTAGTGCAGGCAGTTCAGGCACTTCTCACAGTTCTGGTCAATGAACATTATATGCCATTAAGGTGAGTGATAGTATTTGAAATGGGGGTCGCCAGCATGTGGCATTTCGGGCCTTCCTAAGGCACATGCCTAAAGGTCACAAAAAGCAATAAAAAGGAAAATCTGACAAAACTCAGCAAGAAAATCAAGAAAGAAAATCAGAAGATTCAGAAAGAAAAATCAAACAAATTGCGGTCAGCAACCCTGTGTTATTCCAGTCAATACATGGATGTCCCTCCCCCTTTCCAGCACATAATGACCAATGGGAACTGTTGATAGCACAAATTAACAGCTAGTTAGACTTATCATGTCATCATGGAAGAAAACAGCAATGGAAAGAAACAAAAGAAAACATTATTTTCCTGAGGAATGGAAAAGAGATTTTTTTTTCAGGAATGTGAATGATAAAGGTGTGTTGTCTCATTTGCAGCACAAGATATTTCTCTTTCTAAAATGAGGCATTGGAACTGACAAATTGTCTCATAAATACCGTTAATAGATCTCATCTCCAATTATACAGTAATATTTTGATTACCTGATTGCTGAGTTACAAAGGAATTTTGTAAAAATGAAACAAGTTTCTGCACTTTATTTCTTTTTAATAAAGAAAAGGATGTTACTGTTTTGTTTAAACAATAAAAACTGAAATGTTGCAGAAACATTCAAGTGCTGTATGTGAATATTACACAACGTTAATGCGTTTCAATATGCTGACAACTTATCGTGCCCACAAAAACAAAAATACAAATTTTCTCTAAAAATAGTCAAAATGAGTTTTTGCACTAATTTTTTTCCAACAAGAAAACTTGAATTTTAAAACTTCGAAAATAAGGGGCATCATACTGAAGGTGGTTTCCAAAAGGAGGATGATGTCATGGGCCATGATGACCAATATTTCCAAAAGGAGGATGATGTCATGGGCCATGATGACCAATATTTCCAAAAGGAGGATGATGGCATGGGCCATGATGACTAACCCCCTT